GGGGGGGGGGTACTTACTACTGTTGGTTTAGTGAATGCTTCCTCTATGTCACTTTTACTTGACCTTGACCTTCTTTATTTGTTCTTACTACAAAAGAATACCTAAATACTTTTTCCCCAGGAAAATCTCCCACTTGGACATTCGTATTTTCAGAATCACATGAAGAGATGCAGTAACACATAGTCTCTGCATTAACCTGACTTACATTCTGAAAATACAAACAGAAGACATTTTAAATATGCAATAGCTGCCATTCCTTTAACTAAAAATTTTATTTAATTGATTTTTGCTTTACTAACATAAGGGAATTCTTCACTAGTCCTCTGGATTAGAGATACCTCTTTTCAAAATAGATTTTAAAAACAAAACTATATAATCCTGTAATGTAGCTCTGAATTTAAAGAACTGACACCTGAATCTTATGTCCATTGCAAAGGAACCCCACCGTCTGAAGGGCTTTGTGCTAACACTGCCCATCCCTGTTGTTTCATAAATCTTCATCCTCTTGCTGCTGCCAACCAGAGCTGTTCTACAGCTGGATGAACTTGGTAATTCAGATACAATCCACACTGGAGAAAATAATGGAGACATGCAGCAGAAGCCACATGGTTTCTGATTTTATTATTTTTTTGGCGGGGGGCTACTTTCTGACCTCTTATCATGAGAACGAGATACCTTCGTAAGTAACATGGCACTGTAAATTAATTCCGAACAAATTTCAGAATCTCACTCAATCTGTACTAAATTCATTACAATGTATTACTTCACAGCTGTAGGACTTGCTGGCCCTGTGACACTACAAGGTGCTGAAATCCTTCTGAAAGATGAAATTGTGTTAGGAAGAATTTGGCTTGAAAAATGGGACTTTTCTTTACCCTATCAATAGAAAAAGTGGGGAAATGGCTAATTCAATAATGGAAGTCAATGGGAAAACAATCACATAACAAAACCATTTAATCACAGAGTATACTTTTAAAGCAAGAGACCTTTTAACGTGTAGAGGATCAGGAGGAAGAGAAGGAACAGCATTTACTATTTGGAATTGTTTTTCTATCACATGCAAATAGAGGCAGTCCTTTCCTGACACAAACAAGGCCATTCTCTATGTGATTCCAGTTATACACTTCTCAACTTCTTGTATGAGGTTCGCTAAATCCAGGCAAGTTGCCCTCAAGGTTAGATTGGAATGTCCAGGACCTCCATTGACAGTACTCAAAGGTCCATGCTTGATTTCTTCCTTCCCTGTACAAACATGCTCAGTGCACAGTGCTCTCATTCTGCCCAAAGACTTCTCCTCAACTACAATGGGTTGATGTTACATGTTTCTCTCTTGTTTATGTTTTTATGCCATTGGTACTCTTACTTTTGTTTAGATTACAAAACTCTTGGCAACCCATACACCTTTCTAACCACCACAGGGCCTGCTGTGATTCCAAGGCAATTCACTTCTCTTTTGGAAAGCTCTTTAGGAACCTTGTGGTTCTGTGCTGAGTGTACCTGGGAAACATTCCTCATTTCCCAATAACTTTGTCTGTATGGGGCCTTTCTCCTTTCCACCTCTGCCTGGTGTTTTACTCCTTGGTGGGTTACACTTTGGTTACACATGGCCTCTGAGACTGGTCCATCGGTTGGCTGCCGCTTAAAAAGCATCACTATCACATATCTTTGCATGTCAAGAAAACTGGTAGAAACTTGCAACATTTTTGGAGTGAAATGTAAACAGTTTATTCTGAGTTGTCTTATACTAAACTAATATTGGGAATTTTCCATACACACACAAACATATGCACAACTAAAAGTTTCAAAATAAAATTTATTTTTTATGCAGCAATAGCAATAATATGAGTTCAAATCTGTTGTCTGTTATCCCCTTTCACTTAGGGAACACATATCACGGTTGACCATTTTATCATACCGAAAAGGTGTATTGCAACTCATCCATATGTTGGGCCATGTATAGCCTTTTATTTTGACTCTCAAATCAGTTCCCAACAAAGCCAAAGGACTCTCCTTATTTTCCAAACACCAAATCATCTTTCCATCCAACATGGGAAGGATATAATAGCTGGACTTCTAAGAAGATAAAGTCATAGCCTTCCCTTCTTGGCTCATTTCAAATATGGCCAAGTTCTTCTCTGTCAGTGTTTGGAAGGATGGAGGGGAGGTCAAGGAAATGTGGGAGACTGAGCACGGAGGATTAGGGGAGAGGTAATGAGATTACTGGTGGGGGAGGGAAGGTTGTCAGCATCATAAAGAGATGCAGATTTGGAGTAAGAGGACTGGGGGTCAGGGGCACAGTTGATTTAACACTTTTGTGTCTAGATTTCCTCATCTATAAAATAATACTAATACCACATCCCAGAGGCTTGGGGAATTAGAAGAGGTCTCTAATGTACAAACCGCATCCTGGGCTGGAATGAGGTGGTACCGGGACAGAGTCCATCTCTGGGCCCATACATCAGCCTGCCCAAGTTCCCACTGTCTCTCAAAAGATCCAGAATATCTCCCCAGTATAAACTCTATTGTTGATGTTCATCTCACAATTGGTAAACAACGATCCCACACTCTGATTTCCATTTTCTTCCTTTCTCTAGCTTCCCTCCTTAGCTTTAAGGACGAACCCAACAATGCATGCGTGGCCTAAGGTCAGGTTTCCCATCTTTCCTGGGCCCTGGAGACCAGAGATTTACAGGTAGTGGAGGAGGTAGATGAAAATCGTGTCTCAGCATGTGAAATTGCAAGTGAAATTTCCAGTGGACAGGAAGGAAGTTTTGTACTGTGTTTACCGAGCACCTCCCTCCAAATTCCAAGGAACAGCTTCCAAACCTGGATGTTTTTCCATGTCTAAAACTCCCAGACCATCCATTTCTCTGCTCCCTGAGAGCAGGGCTGTGAAATAGTTCACTGCAATCAAGAGATGCTTTAGTAATTCTGCTTCCCATCCCCTCAGGGTTCCTAGAGTGGGGGCAAGAGAAAAGTTTATGGTATGAGTTGATGGTGATAAGAAACTGTGAATGTGACTTCTAACTTAGGATGGGATGAAGTTGTGTGTGTTTTTAATCTCATATTTCATGCAGGGCTGGGCTGAGGATGTGGCAGGCATGGCGTATGCCCTACGTTCACTGCCAGAGGGGGCTCCCTGCCTGCCACAGGTGAGAGCCAGCTCTGGGGTGTCTGCCCCAAGGGGAAGGGGGGTGGAGGGGCC